GCCGCTGCTGCTGCTGCACAGGGCTCTCCGGCTGTGGAAGGACGGTCTGGCCCTATCCCCAAACCACCCGGAGCTGAAGCGAGAGGCGGAAAAGTACCAGGCACTCGCTTTCTGGCTTGATCCTGGCGAAGGGGATGCCAATACCGACGCAAGAAGCAGTAGCAGTGCCCTCTTAGGCGCGGCGACAGACAGCAGCAGCACCGCCGCCGCCGCCGCCGCCGCCGCCGCGTCGTCCCCTCCGTTTTCATCGCCACCGCCTCCCCTAACGACAGGCGGCCAGGACGACGGCTTCACCGCCCCGGCACAACTGCCCGCCGGAGAAGCTTTCGACAACCTCGACGTGGACTTCATGGCCGGTGACGGGGAGTGGGTGTGCAGCACGCGGCTTCCCCTCATTTCGGCATCCGAATGCTCCGCGATCATCAACGAGGCAGAGGAGAAAGCCTCCGCCGCCGCCGCCGTCGCCGCGGCAGTCGGCAGCGGCGGCGGCGGCGGCGGCAGCAGCGGCTGGGGGACGTCTAGGCACTACGCCGTCCCGACAACGGACGTGGCCGTGCGCGAGCTCCCGCGGACCCTTGCGTGGTTCAACCGGGCGATGCGGACGCGCATAGGCCCGACGGTTGCCGTCGCCGCGGCGTTGGGCGGAGGCATTTTCGAGAGGCCGGGCCGCCGGTCCGGTTCGTTGGAGCTCAGTCCGCCCGTGGCGAAGCCACACGCGAAAGACGAGGATTTCCCCGCTCACGCGGTTTGCTCCGCTGCTGATAGCGACGAGGCGGCGGCGGCAATCGCGTTGATAGCACCGGAGGACGGGCAAAAGGGGCGGCAGGTCGAGAGCGACGACGACCAGGAGGGACAGAGTCGGGAGGCTGAAGAGCCACGCGGGAGAGCAGGAGCACCAACGCCTCCGCCTCCAGCGCTGATGTTGCGGAGGCTCAGGGTCCACGACGCGTTCGTGGTGCGGTACGACGCCGCCGCCCAGCGCTCCCTGCCCCTGCACACGGACCAGGGGGAGCTGTCCCTGACCATCTCCCTCAACGGCACCGGCGAGTACGAGGGCGGGGGCACGTGGTTCGAGGGTCTCGGCCGCGCCGTCCGGCCCGAGGAGGCCGGTCACGTGGTCGTGTTTCCGGGGGGGAGGACCGTGCACGGGGGGAAGGAGGTGACGAGGGGGGTCAGGTATATCCTGGCCGTGTTCTTGTACGAACATTGGGAGGAGGAGGAGGAGGAGGAGG